GCTGCTACCGACAGCAAGCTGACGCCCCCCCCCCGCCCCCAAATAATAAAAATACCCAGCCAGGGGGCAAAGCCCCGACGCCAGGCGCCGGGAGGCGGCGGGGACGGCAGGGACCGCGGCGGCGGCGGGCAGCGGCGCGGAGGCGTGGCCAAGAGCAAGAGCCGCCGCAGGAAGGGCGCCAGCGCGGTGTCGGTGGAGCCGCACCGGCACGAGGGCGTCTTCATCTACCGCGGGGCGGAGGACGCGCTGGTCACGCTGAACATGGTGCCCGGCCACTCGGTGTACGGCGAGCGGCGGGTCACGGTGACCGAGGGCGGCGTGAAGCAGGAGTACCGCACGTGGAACCCCTTCCGCTCCAAGCTGGCCGCGGCCATCCTGGGCGGGGTCGACCAGATCCACATCAAGCCCAAGTCCAAAGTGCTGTACCTGGGCGCCGCCTCGGGGACCACTGTCTCCCACGTCTCCGACATCATCGGCCCCGACGGCCTGGTCTACGCGGTCGAGTTCTCCCACCGCGCCGGCCGCGATCTGGTCAACGTGGCCAAGAAGCGAACGAACATCATCCCGGTCCTCGAAGATGCCCGGCACCCGCTCAAGTACCGCATGCTCATTGGGATGGTGGACGTGATCTTCGCGGACGTGGCCCAGCCGGACCAGTCGCGCATCGTGGCTCTGAACGCCCACACCTTCCTGCGCAACGGAGGCCACTTCCTCATCTCCATCAAGGCCAACTGCATCGACTCGACTGCCTCTGCCGAGGCGGTGTTTGCTTCTGAGGTGAGGAAGTTGCAGCAGGAGAACTTAAAGCCCCAAGAGCAGCTGACCCTGGAGCCTTATGAGAGGGACCACGCTGTGGTCGTCGGGGTCTACCGGCCGCTTCCCAAGAGCGCCAGCAAGTAGCACTCGGCTCGGGCTGTCCCTGAGATCTCCCCAAGACTGTGTTGTGTTCAGTGTTACTATGTTTGTGTTTTCTTTGTGTGTTGTTTTCCTTTGTTTCTTTTTTTTCTATTAAATGGCATAATGGAACAGTACCCGGCTGTATCAGTGAGGCCAGACTGGCTTTTGCTGCAGTAACAATCAATCCCCAAATCCCTTAAAACAGCTAAAACAGCTGGTGATAGGCACCGATGGATCATGGAACAGTTGGAAGCTGTGCTTACTTTAACCACTCAGGGCCCTGACTCCCCAGGGCCCCTCTTCACTCATGCTTCCTCATCACAGGGGCAGGGGAAAGAGAGCTGGGGAACTGCTGAAGAGCTTGTAAAGTCCCCCCTTGGAACTAAGGGGGCACTTCCCTATGCATTGCCCAAGTCGCGTGACCAAGCCTGACTACAGGGAGTGGCATTGGATATTGATGGGCAGTAATATAGTCTAACAGCCAATCTGCCTGACTCCAAGCCAGAGTCCTAACCACAGTATGTATTTAGTACTTTACTCTCTACCTAAGCCCCTTTGTATTCTCTAGTACATTTAATCATCACACCTGCCCTCAGATGGCTTTGCTACCATTTCCCTTTTACATGTGAAGCAACAGGGCTTCTGAAAGTAAACTGGTTGCCCAAGTTTACACAGCCAATAAGGACATAGAACTTAAATGCCAGTCTTCAGGCTCTAAATCCACTGCTATTTCCTATACACCAGTTGGATCTTACCCCTCCCCAACATGGCCCACACTGGACAGACCACAAGTCTCAACACGAGGACACACACAGAGCAAGGCTCTCCGGCTTCATTGTGTTCTTTCTCCCACCTCCCTGTCCTAGCCTTTTCTTAGATTTAAAAATAGCAAAATAAGGGGAGGGGTGGGATGTGGGTCCACCTCGCAGAGTGTTCCCACTGCAAGGTATAACCTACCCAAAGTGGTGTCACCAAGTGTCTGAGAAACAACCAGAAAAATGAATCCCAGAAAGTACCTGTCTCTGAAGGGCATTTCCTGCAGACCCTGAGTTGGGGGGCTCTGGTTGGTTCAATTCTGGCTCCCTAAACCAGCTTGAATGGAGCAGGAGAGTGAGCGATCCCGGGAGAGCTGGGAATGTTCCAAAACCAGGCCTTGAACAGGGCTTTCATTTATTCATTCACTTATATATTCAAAAAATTCCCATTGCTGATTGCCAAAGTCATCAACGTTTAGTGTGGAAACGATTGCTCACTAAAGCGTCATTTGGAGAGTGGATCTGCCTTCTTAAAGATGTGCTTGGGCAGAGATTGCGGTTAGTCTACGTTTTCTGAGGGCATACTTCCTGAACAAAAAAGAAGATAAATCAGATTTTTTAAAAGGCAGCCACTCCTCCACTCCTCCCACCCGCTCCCCTACCACGTGCACACAAAGCTACAATGCAGGTAGAGAGCTGCTGTTTAGATTTGTTGGCAAGACTCATTCAGGAAGAAGAGGGTGAATGGAGTAAATGTCTACAAAAACTCAAACCGGGCCTTTCCATCAAGAATGTGAAATCTGGGGGCGGCCCCATAGCACAGTGGTTAAGTTCGGTGTGCTCTGCTTTAGCAGCCCGGGTTCGGTTCCCGGGTGTGGACCTATGCCACTTGTCGGCTGCCGTCCTGTGGAGGCGACTCACATACAAAATAGAGGAAGATTGGCACAGATGTTAGCTCAGGGCAAATCTTCCTCAGCAAAAAAAAAAAGAATGTGAAATCTTCATTACAACCCCACAAAGCCAGGATCATTATTCCCATTTAACAGATGGAAAACTGCAGTTCAGAGAGAGGACATGACTTGCTTGAGATCCCATAGTAAGGCTCACAGCCAGAAATCACACACACAGGAGCCTGACTCCAAAGTCTGTGGCCTTCCCACAGAGGTCTGTGCTGGCTCCTTTGCTTTGCAAAGCCCTCTCTCCAAGCCCGGGCTAATTAATTTGTGGCTGGGATGAAACCCTGAGGCTGGGGATGTACTCCCAGGAAACAGGAAGATTACTTCCAGAATCTTACAGGATCCAGCCCTTTCTCAGAGCCTCCATAAGGAGCTCTTGGTTCTTCCTTACAAGGTGTCTGTCTCTCAAGGTGAGGGACAGAGCAGGGGAAACTCAGCCTCTTTCCTTGTCATGAGCACTCCCACATACACACACACACAGACAATCTATAGTCCATGTCTGAAGCTGCTTGAAGTGGGACCATCCATGGAGAAAAGGCATGAAAACAACCTCCTAAAGAATGTGTCTGAGTTGCAGGTGGGTTCCTGGGCCAATGGAATGACATGTTAAGAACCAAGAGAAATATGGGAATAAGGACTAAGGGAATGTGGGAGGGAAGCTGAGCCCGGATTTGCAGGGTGAGGCTGGGGAAAAGCATGGGACTGTAACTCCAGTGGGCAGGGAGGCCCAGGAAATAGGTAGCAGTGACATTGGGCACCTGTGCTGCTTGGAGCTGAGAATGCTTGGGTTCCCAGAAGGCATTAAATTCAGATCTCTAGGTGTCTTAGACTGCTTGGGCTGTCATAACAAAATACCACAGTCTGGGTGGCTTAAACAATAGACATATATTTTCTCACAGTTCTGGAGGCTGGAAGTCCAAGATCAATGTGCCAGCAGGGTTGGTTTGGTTTCTGGTAAAGTGTTTCTCCTTTTTTCTGTGTGCATGAGGGGAGAGAGAGATTGAGGGAAAGAGAAGGAGAGAGAAACAGAGGCAGAGACAGTGGGGCGGGGGGAGAGATATCTGGTGTCTCTTTCTCTTCTTATAAGGTCACCAGTTCTATCAAATTAGGGCCCACCCTTATGACCTAATTTAACCTTAATTACATTCTTTTTTTTTTTTTTTTAAAGATTTTATTTATTTATTTTTCCCCCCCAAAGCCCCAGTAGATACTTGTATGTCATAGTTGCACATTCTTCTAGTTGCTGTATGTGGGACGCGGCCTCAGCATGGCCAGAGAAGCGGTGTGTCGGTGTGCGCCCGGGATCCGAACCCGGGCCGCCAGCAGCAGAGCCCACGCACTTAACCGCTAAGCCACGGGGCCGGCCCTTCCTTAATTACATTCTTAAAGGCCCCTTCTCCACATGTAGTCACATTGAGGGTTAGGGTGTCAACATTTGGGTTGGGGGGAACACAGTTCAGCCCATAACACTAGGACTGGATGGGAACTTTCAGCTAAAATGCTTGTCTTACTGGCTTGTGAGAATTGACTGAGGAAACCAATGTGCAATGTGAAATACCTGCACAGAGCTCTGCATTTGTTCCTTCCCTCCATCTTTCCTCTTATTGTGGATATAAGATAACAAGGTGGCTGAGAATTAGGAGTTACATGAAGGCCAGGCATTGCACTGGAGTGGGGGCAACTTAGCAGGGCTTCTGGGGGGACTGCTGCAAGCTGGGAGCTGGGTGGAACTTGCTGCTGAGTTTCAGAGAATCAGCAGCCTGGCAAGAGCCCCAGTTGAGCCCAGCTCAAGTGTCTGTCAGTGAGTGGCCAGTGTCAGTCACCTCTGCAGCAGGTGCAGTGAGGCTGGAGGCTGATGCTCAATGACCAGGCGAGATGGACCCTGTGCCAAAGGGATCCAGCGGGAGCCAGCAGGGAAGAACACACGGATCCGACCTCCCACCCTTGCTCACCATCACCTGCTGTCTTTCAGCCTCCCCCTGCACAGATGCCTCCTGAGATGAAGGGAGGAAGAATGGGGAGGGAGAGGAAGACCTGAGGAAATGGACCTTTGTCCAAAAGTGACTGTTTTAAACTGGAAAAAACCAACTTCCTTTAAATTGGCAATTTCTCTCCCAGCTGCAACCCTACTACCACGCAAGACGCCTTAGCACATCTGAGCTGTGGTGAGGACGTTTGGATTCTGCTACACTCATATTCCTCAGGCACTTATGATGTCCCAGGTATAGAGCTAAGCACTTATTTGATTTTCAAAACTCTTGTTTTAAATTAACGACAAGAACAAACATACCAGGAAATACTGAAACGTAAATGTTCAGCTTCATGAACTGCTGTGAAATGAGCACTGGTGTCAGAGCTACCCCTAACACTTGTGTGGCCTGGAACAAGATGGCGTACGAGAGCCCCTGCCCATGGCCCGCCCCTTCTTCTTCCCACCCCTCGTCTGTCCCACACCCTGAAAGGCCTCACGCACGTGTCTGTAGACTCCCAGCCCTCAAGTCCAAGATCTGTCCCCATGACCTTCAAGTAGCCTCCTTTAATCCATCCCTTGGAACTAGAGTTGCAAACTGGGAGCACGGTCCCTCTCAGGAAGACCGGCCTAGGGAAGACGATGGAAGCAGGCTCGGGCTGTTCAGGCCGGGTTCCCCGTTCCCGATGCATGATCTAGAAGGTGGGGACATGGGCTCCTGGGGGCATGGCACTTGTTCCTGATAGACTCCTTGCCCCGTGGGGGAAGGTGCAGACAGAGGAAGGCCAGAGCACAGACCTCTCAAGTACGGGGCCCAGGGCAGGGGCCCTGGTTGCTCATGTCTAAGAGTGGCCCCTTGCCTCTCCACCCACCCAAATCTCAGCGTTTCTCCTTAAGGAGCGAGTCCAACTCTTCCAAGTAGTCTTCCAAGCCCTTGGGTTCACAGGAAACTCTTCTTCTGAAAGCTCTTGATTCATGTTCTGATTGAGACATCATTTATTATGCACATATTATGTGTCAGATGCTTCCAGACACCTGTTTCATTTAATCCCCCCCATACCCCCTGGGACACAAGTGTTATTGCCTTCGTATCACAGATGAGGAAACTGAGGCTCAGGAAAGAGACTTGAATCACCCAAGGTGGTGTAGCTAGAAAGTGGGAGATCTGGGCTGTTCTGGGGCAGGATTGTATCCCGGGGCCGGCCCGGTAGCATAGTGGTTAAGTTCACGTGCTCCACTTCAGCGGCCCGGGGTTTGCAGGTTCCGATCCTGGGTGCGGACCTACACACCGCCTATCAAGCTATGCTGTGGCAGGCATCCCATGTATAAAGTAGAGGAAGATGGGCAAGGATGTTAGCCCAGGGCCAGTCTTCCTCAGCAAAGAGAGCAGGATTGGCAACAGATGTTAGCTCAGGGCTAATCTTCCTCACACACACAAAAAGGA